GGGAGACACACAATTTGGGGCAGCAGAGTCTCAGTCTGTAGGGAACTGTTACCGACCAAAGTGTGGAAGTTGGTCTGGTTGCTGAAGAGGTGCCAGGTCACTTCCTTAGTACCGCCATGGCGCCCCTAAACAAGGCATGGAACACCCTTCAGCTCTTGGGCGTCCCTGTGTGCAAGCCCAACTCGGACGTCTCCCAATGAATGCATGTCCATAAGTCCTGTTTGTGCATTTCAGGCCTATTATTGATATTTATTGATTGGTCATTATTGATTTTTCTTATTTAATTAACTTCCTTCACAAAGCAGAAGATGCCCGTAGAAAAGAAGAGAATGATTAAAAAGTGGGGTCATCGTCTCATCTTAACACGAATGTAACGCAACAGATTAACTGGGAGGAAGTCGATTTAGCAAATGTTTTCACAACAGGTCTCAATGAAGGCTTTTTGAGTCCTTACAGAAATGTTAAATGACATGCTGTTGACATGCAGTCCACCATGAGGAATGTCCTCAATCAGTCAATTTTGATTTGTAATGCATGAAATTATAACAAATGTCCACGACAAAAAGAAAAAGGTCTCAACTGAAATACTTGTTCTAACTTTGAATTTCAGGTGAATTTCAAGTCTTCAAACTTTAAGGTTCAAAGGTGGGATGCCTCTTCTTGCTCTGTAATTACAACTTCAACCTTGCAAGGAAGCAGTTTTGCAAATAAAATCACAACAATCACAAGATGACACATGTTTCCATATCTCTTCTGGTTGACACATTTCAACTGCTGCAAAATGCAAATCATGTCAGCAAACTTTAAGATCCATCCATCTTAAGTTTCCACAACAACCTGTATCAAAATCAAGTTCTACAATTCACTTAGCAGACCCTTTTATCCAAAGCGACGTACATCAGAGAGTAAGAACAACACAAGCAAGGATCTAGAAAAAAGGGAACAATGTGAGTAAGAGCAAACGATCAGCTTTGAGTCTGATTGGACACACAGGTGCTGACAGGAAGTGACCAGAGGCAAAGCACAACATTGAGGGCAGTTCTTGAGAGCTCTAATCAGTATAGAAACCATCTTATAAGTCGTCGTTATCAAACAAAAACCATCGTCATTACCATCATCATCATCAATAATATGGAGACCATCATCATTAAGTTAGTAGGTATTCATGGAAGAGCTGGGTCTTTAGCTTTTTCTTAAAGGTGCAGAGGGACTCTGCAGATCAAATGGAGTTTGGAAGTTCGTTCCACCACCGGGGGGCGACAGAGGAGAAGAGTCTAGTCAGAGTCTTAGGACCCTGTTGTAAAGGTTGGATCAGACGCCTTTCATTGGCAGAGTGTAGAGGGGGGGAGGGAGTGTAGACCTGGATCAGAGAGTTAAAGTAAGGAGGAGACGTTTTTGTCGTTGTTTTGTAAGCGAGCAGCAGAGTTTTAAATTTGATGCGAGCAGTAACTGGGAGCCGGTGTAAGGAGATGAACAGCGGAGTGACGTGTGCTCTTTTAGGAAGGTTGAATTTGGTGAAGTTGGTGCTTAAGAAATAAGGAGGAGATTCATCCTCTGGGTAACATAAAAGTAAACTTGATCAAACTGGTGGATCGATTGCTGATACTGCCATCCACAGAGCCGTGTTAACAAGTGTCATTCTCATGAAGGCATCATTTCCCACTTCACATTAGAAACACATGGTCAGACCCTGACTCGTTCCCTGGGCCGGTTTCTGATCCTGGGAGAGTTCCTGTCAGAGCCACGTGTAGCTGCAGGACTCAGGGTGACTTTTCTGGGTGTAAAATTCAATTATCCAGCGGGTGAGCGTGTCTGTTGTGAGCGGTGGGCGGACGGCTGCCCATTCCCAGCATGCGACAAGGGGGTTAAGAACCACAGAAAGGCCTCCATTATCCAGAGTGAGAACGGCCCATGTGGCTGGCTGCACGGCCTCCGCTCTCATTCACTCTGCCTTTACAAACAGCACTCCCGAAAGCCTCAGAGTTTCTTTCTCCTTTCTCTGCTTCCTCCCCCCCCTCCCTCCCTCCCTCTCTCTTGCTCTCCAACTCTCAGAAAAGAGTCTCCACAATGCTGCTGGAGGCTGGAGTGGATTCTTCAGCACCCCTGTGGACAGTCCACATGTGGACAACATTCACAGGACGTCTGTCAACTAGTCCATTAATCAACGACATCTCATGAAAGAACAATTAGGAAGCTCACAACTCTATAACAGATTATCATCTCTAAGCACCCCTGCTTCTCAGCAATTTTCTGGCTGAGGTTGAATTTCTTGTCACTTTTCTCTCCACGATAATTACAGAAAAATGGAGTTATATAATCATGACAAAACCAAAAAGAAAAAAAAGATTTAAGGACAGCTGTAGTTGTGAAAGAGCTCACTCCTCGCTGGCAGAGAAATTTGCTCACATCTGGCTAATCACTGGGGTGAGAATGGACCTTCAGTGTGTGAATAAGACTGAGGCGCTATGGAGGAGGCAATTGAAGACACACACTGCACCACTTCTCCTGATAAATGAGCAATTGTCTCCATCGCCATTAATGACAGTAAATGACACAGTAGGGAGCTCTTCATCCACTGGACAATATGGAGAGGACACTGAGGAACCTTGGGAGTTTCTATGTGACATCACGTCCCATCTGCAAATTACAGACCACTATAGACTAGCAGAAGACGCATACAGTGGACCATTATGAGCGCTCTGGAGAAAATACTAGGCTTTTATAGTATGTTTATGTGCATTTCAATTTCCGGTAGATCAGTAGGCTAATGTGCAGTACAACTTTTTAACCCACTTTAAAGCAGCAATAACTAATATTTTAGCAACCTTGACATGTAATCAATACATGAAGTTGATATAATTAACTTTCCAAACAACATCACTCGTTTCAAGTCCTCTTTGTTTCCACACTTGCTTGCTGTGTTTGTTTGTTGTATGTAAGATTGTATAAGGTAGAATTATGTTTTCTGTCTGTATAAGGTAGACAGGAAAAGGGAAAGATGAAGAGGTAGGGTACGCAGCTGGAATTGGAACCAGGACTTTTTTTTTCTTCATTATCCAGACACTTAACTGAGGAAATATTGAGATAATTATAAAAAAGGTAGCTCAGATTGGCATGACGAAAACTGTAACAGTGATGCATGTGTTACCTTGAGATAGAAATATGATAAATGCTAATAGAGTCAGTTAAAATAATTAAAAATAAATACATGTAAAGGTGATTTGTAAAATAAAGCCACTTGTTCCACTGGATTTGAAATATGTTGCCCAGTGTGTTGGGGGGGGGGGAGAGAGAGGGGGGATGGTGTTCTTTCAACATTACCTAGCCCACACTGCCCTCTTGTGGTACCTGTGGAGCTCCTCATTGTCAGGTATGTTCATGTCAGCAGTTCTGCACAAAAACAAAAAAAGTTATTTCATTTTAAAATAATGTTTCCATATTATTATGATTGTATTTTTGTTTGTTTTCAATGTGTTTTTGTACTGTTCCTTCTGAGTTATTGCAGGCTATTTATCACATAAACACAGAACAGACACAATGCAAAAAAAGGTGTACATATGGTACACATATATACCAGTAGTTATAAAAGGTTTATAATGGCATATATTACAACATTTTTGAAAATGTAAAAAGGTTTAAGACTCATTAAAATTTCTTAAAATCATTCTTGACTTAAACCGCTTACACAGTATTTTTACTATAACATTATTTTTAAAACCTTAGTCATTATTTTATATCAGTAGGTAATAGTTAAAATAATATTATAATTATTATTATAATTAATAATAATAATTAATAATAATAATAATAATATTATATTATTATAATTAGTAAAAATTATAAAAATTATTATAAATTAAATAATTATTAATAGTTATGAAAAAGTTATGCGTTCATGCCCCATCACTGGCTATATATTAGCATGCTCACATTAGCATGACTCCTATGTAAGTGCTGTCTGGCTCTATGCTAGCAAGCTAACATTAGAGCTATCTAAACAGTTTGGCTTACGTAACTTTTAGAATGTCGCATTAGCATTTAAGTTCAACGCACAGTTCAAGTTCAAGAAAGACTAATAAGTCTAATGTAAGCAGACTATTGTTTAACTTGTATTTTTTAAACATTTTACAACATTTATATTAGCATTTAGCTCAAATATCACAGCGAGGGCCACATTCGTTTAATTCTCTGCCTGGGGGCCAAACTGTAGAATACAAAAAACGATTAAAGTCGATTACGTCTCAAATTGAACTCAACATATACCAGTGATCAAATATTATCATGGACATATTTCTGGTTTTCATGATTTCATGGTAGATTTTGTCATGTTTTCCAATTAATTGATGTGTAAAAATTGACCCGAGGGCCACGTTGAGGGTTGATGGGGGCCGCATGTGGCCCCCGGGCCGCCAGTTGCCCACCCCTGATTTATACTGTATGTTAGCATGCTGACATTAGCTTTTTATTACGCAAAACAGTGACATTAGCATTAACTTAAATAAAATAAATTACTATTAAGTCGAGGATGTAGTCATTTATATATATATATATATTTTTTTTTTTTTTTTTTTTACATTTTCTACAATAATAGTTAACCCCATATAGCCTATGATTTAGCTAAATGTGCTTATTATTGTTATTATTTAAACTTAGTTTCAAATGGAGCCAACAGTAATGTTAAATATATAACATTAGATGGATAAAGGTGCGTTTGCCTTCAGTTTAAGGTAATGTATACCTGTTGTCAGGTCAGTCCGACGATATGATAAAGAAAGGCATCTCTACTGCAGCAGCGGCCATGGTTAAAACTAAACTAAAAAACCTTAAAGCCCTCATCCAGCGGTGGACAACAAGAACCAGATGTGCCATATTGTAATTCTGTTTCACAACAACCGTCCCGTGACATACCGATGCTGAGGGGGGTGTGGTGTGACGTGGCCCCGCTGTTTGAACGGAGGGGTTTTAAAGACAGGAGTTTGCGCAAACAAAGTCTGGTTACCAGAGTCCAGCATCTATTCTGCACGCACAAGTTGTTCACCTGAAGAGAGAGGATGGACGCTGCTTACAAGAGGGTCAATGGAAACTATGGGCCGGAGACAAAGACAGAGCCAGATGCAGAGCCAGACACAGGGGATCAAGGCACCAGGGTAAACCTCATAATGACACTTCAACTTCTATGTTTTCAAGTTTTAAACTCCTCTGCATTCGTGCTCTTTTTTTTGTTATAAAAGCATCAGCTAACCTGTTATCTAACATCATTGTAAACCAATTTAAAGTAGAAAGAGACTCATATTGCAAAGAATTTAACCTCTGCTAGATCTCAAATCCTTTTTAATGCAACAAAAACAATGAAAGAGCCAGACATAGCTAGAATATTCCAGGTATTCCTGCAGACAAAGCAGGGAATAGTTGTGAATAGAGGGGGGGGGGGCAGCTGATGTTACTGCAAAAAAGATCATATGTGCTCTCATAATACACCTGGAATATATAACTGGACCTTGCAAAAACAAAAAACATCAGGTTATCATTCCATCTTGCCTTATGTATCGGGGTATTTATACTGCAATAACTATATTTGATAAGGGCTTGATCTTTCAAACACATAGCCATTGGTTTACAGACCTCTTATGTCAAAGCTTAATCAAACAAATGTGTGTTCCAAGTGATTTATTTACAGAATAAACAATCTGAGGATGTGTCCATTGGTTGTGAACTAATGATAGGTGCTTTTCTTTTTTTTTTCTGGCATTTTACAATCAAATAGATAATCAATGTTTCCGCAAATTAAGTTGCATAACATACAAAGCCCCTTTTGGTTCATCAAAGTTATGTGAAAGGATTTAATTAATAAATAACTACGAGACTACATCTGTAACATATTCTGCTCCACATGCAGGGTGGTGGGGGGGCATCGAGGATGTGTTTTCCTCTTTATTCGGGATTGTTGTAAATCCTCTCATGTGTGGAGCATGTGGTCACACCAGCACTGCTGCTGCAGAGGCTGAAAGGTTAAAGGTGTGAGGGCTTTGAGCTTTGAGATCAGACGCTGTGAATGCAGAAAGTCATGGCTTTCACTCTAGATTTTATGCATTTTTTTTTTTTTTTTAACACATGCCTTTGCTTAAAGATATGCTCACAAAAAGAGGTCCAAACTTAAATCAAGAGGCAATACAGCGATTAACCTATCTTAGATTTACACATCCTCTTGGCCTTAAACTCTCAAATGAACAGATTTAGAGTTTAAAACATAAATCATCACAAGGATCTTAAGGGGATCAAGATCAACTATAAAAATGACTGCATTTATTACCCCTCCACCTCTTTTATGGACTCCTCCTGTAACAGTAGCATAAGCGGCCCCCTGAGGTTCTGGCTTTTGTAAAAACGACAATATCTATAATCTTGTGCACATTTCTAACCCTTGTGTTGTTTCTTTAAATGCGTCTATCTGCAGAAGAGAAGGGGCTCCATGTACCTGGAGGAAGAGACCGACAAGAAGTCAGAAGTGATCTCCTGCATCTTCTCCCTGAAGGAGGAGGTCGGCGCCTTAGCCAAGGGGCTCAGGCTCTTTGAGGTAAATCGATAATACCCATCACTGGAAGATCTTTCTTTCTGATCATGTAATAAGCGGGATGTATCAAACACATCGCACAAGAGTTTGACTTGTGTAGCATGTGGGCTAATTTTTGAATGCGCATTTAAGCCAAATTTAACTAAATAAGAAATAAGGTAGGTCTCTAGGAGCTCATATGTGTGTACATCAACAAAATCCAAACACAGGTAAGTTTAAATAATAATTATTGTATTTCACAAAAAATACTTTCAATATAACAAAACAAGAAGTTCAAACACAAACAATATAAATGTCCTCTTTCTTAATCGAAAAGGCTCTCTTGGGTCCATTCAAAAAAAAAAAAAAGTAAATGTCTTTCGGTCCGTATTCCAGAATGTCTTTTTCTAAATCCTACCAGCTTGTAGCAGCGGTGAGAACATCTCAGTGGTTTAGCTCGCCATCTTCATGGAGCAGTTTCATACAAAAAAACCTGACCTATAAAAAAAGGTCATGAAGAGAGGGCTAAATCAATTCAATTCAATTAACCTGGGTTACACTAGGGTTTAAGTAACCTCTACAGAGTGGGGGTTAAACACATTTTTGAGGTTTGGCTAAGATTGATGTTTGTCCAACCTAAAAAATTGAACTTTATTATGTTAAATCAAAATTTTGAAGTGAGTATTAGTGTAGAACTTGCAAAAAGGCTCATTTTAAGTTGATAAAAGAGCAACAACAAAAAAAAGAAAGAGAGGCTGAATGTTTAAATGTAGTCAAAAAAAAGCTGACTCATTCATTAGCATGAAGCAAGTAGCCAATTAGCTTAGCTTAGCATAAATAGTGAAAGCAGGGGGGGGGAAACAGCTAGCATGGGGGCCAAAAAAAGAAAAACAGTTTCAGCACGTCTGTGTTTCACTGGTTTACACAGAGTCTGTGATCTGGTTCATGATTTCACAACACACAACTGTAGTTTCAGTGCAGGGCTCAGCGGGTCACGTAAATGATTATCTTTCGTTTTTGGGTTTTGTTTTCATGTTTGTGGCCTGCTGTGACCCGTTAAAGCAGAAAAATAAACAAAATGAGCTTATCTGACATGTTCGTTGGATTAGTTGTGTGCAAACATGACATGTGACTATTTGATGCACTAACACACCTACACACCCCCATCTCCTCCCTATTTATCAATAATAATGAAATAACCAAACACTGGACTATTCTAAAACTGAAACCCTGATCAGTGACTTGCACCTTGTAGAGAACGGGAAAGATGACATAAGATGAGCGTGTCAAACCCGAAGGCCAAACTAGGGACACGAGTTGGAAATTAGCAATAGCTATATACTCTTTATGCAGCACATCAGTTTCAATCTGCTGGGAGTTTTATGCAAGTGTGAAAGCACTAAGTGATCAGTTGACTGTTAATGCAAAGCAAGGTGAGATTTTTTTTAAGCAAAGAGATATGATGTCCTGCTGTTGACACAAGGGGTGCCAAAATGTATATATTAAATATATTAACTTTACTTAAATTGGATGCATGTAAGAGGATTCAGGCTCTTATTTTCACTCACAGGAGCATCGATGAGTGTGCTGTTTTTTTTAAATTCACTAATCAATCAATGCTGCCTGTGTGTACGTGACTGTCTGAAGGATTGAAGGGAACACTGACTGGCAGCGCTTCAATAGTTTAATCTTCAACATGAGAGACACTATCAAAGTTCAAGTTTGCTCTTCCTGCATGCGAAACAGAGAGAAATGGACCCAGAACTTTCTGCAGGGAAAAAAAGTCCCAAAAAAAATCTGCAAAACATCCCAAAAAGATGTTTTGGGAAAGACTTTTCTTTGGATATATATTTTCTCATTCTCAGTCATGTGCACACTTCTCTGGGGGTGGAGAAGTTTTGTTCCAATTGTAGAAGTAAACATGAGGATCCTCTTTGAACCTATGAGCTTGCACGTTCCCCATCCTCCCCCTGCTCCACCCACCCACCCCACTCCTTGCTTATAAAACAGGCCAAATGACCCCCAAACCATTAACACTCCCCTTTTCTGCAATGTAATGCTGATTCTCCAAAAAGCACAGCCTGCCTGAAGAGAACATACTGCACTTCTTCCTCTTGTAGTCCTCCGTTTTCTGGCAAACTGGAGACGACTGCTTGCAAGAACCATATGCTAACGTTTAGCCGTGCAGCCTTGGTGTTTATCCCGGGTTCATTTTCATCTTGTGAATGCGTAATCTCCATTTTTTAGGAACGTTACACACTACAGCTGCGACCTCGTTTATCCGCCTTTGTACAAAGCGCATGTGACACTGCAGAGGGGTTATCATGTGACAATACAGAGCCGTGCGCCGACCCTGACCTCACAACGCAGTCAGGGCGGCAGCAGGGTGGATGTCACCCGGCTTGCACAATGGAGCGCGGCTCTTAGGGGTACAAAAATCTGACAAAATGACCCATGCCTCATGCATGGTTTAGGATTTAGGGTTGGTTATGTTAAGCCGGACAAGGGGACTAAATTCAAAGGTTAATAAGTTTGGCTTTTTTTTTTCCAAAGAAATAGCATTACTGTTTAGCATTTTTTTGCTGAGAACAAAATCATATTATTGCTACACAATGAACAGTATGCATTTTAATATTTGTTTACTGTTGTTTAATGCAATGAAATATAAAAATTTAGGGTTCAACTCTCACATTTTTAAATGCCTTTGCACAATCCACATTTTCATTTTGTCAAAGCTCAAAAATGTCTGTCTCGGGGGCGTCCTATAGCCTAGCGGTTGTGTTGTACGCCCCATGTACAGAGGCTACAGTCCTCGTCACAGTGGCCATAGGTTCGAATCCGACCTCGGCCCTTTGCTGCATGTCATCCCCCGCTCTCTCTCTTCCCAACATTTGCTATCTCTCTTCAGCTGTCCGATATAATAAAGGCATCAATGGCCCATAAAAATGCATCTGATCATTTGAATCTATTGAAATGTTTAGTAGTATTCATTTAAAAGGTGAAACAAAACTATAATATGCTTGAATTGAAGTCACTTTATCTGTTTATTGATGGCATATTCTCCTTAAAAACGTTCTCATATCACGTCCAAGAATTTATAGGGAAACATTCAGAGAGTAGATTATTATTTGAATTTCACTTGATTTTCTTCTTTCCTTTGATAAACTCTGAGAGCAACAGTAAATGTGCTGATAAAAGCACATCATAAAAAGGAGGCCATCTTCACTTTTTGAGTGCCAACCTGGTCATTCCTGTAGTCATTCCTGGGTTATGCAGGCCCCCATTTTTTTAAAGAAAGCTGTTATATGTACAATGGGATCCAGATGGGAGAAAACGTGAGGCCCTGCTGCTTACACCCTCCTCTTTACTGGGCCTATAGTAGACAGAGAACAACATACACCCCCAATGTTACATAAATAAAAACACATTCTTGATGGTGAGCCTTTCTGCATTTTGAACATTAAAACATAGTAATGAATCGCATCCAATTAGGTTTGGAAACATCCCAAAGGCCTTGTGCTCATGATTTATTTGACAGTTAATTTGACGGTTTTACAGCTAACGAGTACAATATGTCCTGAGTTTTTCTCAGTTTTCTGGGTCAATGTCAAATTGCAGAAGAAGATAGTTTAAAGCTGGCTCTGTCTGACCGGAGAGAATGATGGCATATCTGCTAAATTGCCATCAATATGGTGGCAACACAGCGCCCTCTGGTGGAGAGAGAAAGTCAGTGCTGCAGCCAAAAACATTCACTGTTGTGTATCACATCAATTATAATTATTTTCCTTTCTTTTTTAAGAGGAACTTTTTCATCACAAAATGGAAAATTTTGAAAAAAAGAGACCAAAAAAACCTCTGAGCTCTTAGGTCTCACCTCTTCCTTTTCTTTGTTTCACAGGAGAAGGGCATCAACCTCACACACATCGAGTCCCGTCCGTCACGTATGAACAAAGAACAGTACGAGTTCTTCATCAGCGTGGACTCCTCCTGCTCCCAGGCCCTGGATGAAGTCATCGACAGCCTCCGCACACAAATCAGCGGCAGTGTGCACGAGCTATCACGCAACAAAGAGAAGGACACAGGTTAGTGAGTGTGTGAGGATGATACGCATGAATCCTCAACTTAACAAAAGATATGTAAAAAAAAAAAAGAAAAAGAGGATGTTGTGAGAGGAGAGGTTAAAGTGGATGTTATGTAAGATTTTGTCAGTGTAGTATTATGCAACTTTTTAAAAAGATACTTTAGTGTAAACATCAAACGCTAACTCTTATTTTGGAATGAGAGTCAAATCTGTGCTGAAAATGTAGAGAGATTTTGTTAGATAGGTGTATCGTTCAACCTTCTGCCAATGCTAGAGGAAAAAAGTCAGAGGGTAACCAAAGTCTGTTGGGTTTATCCTCTTGGAAACATGGAAATCTGTTAGTCAGGGTTCCTGTAATTTCAAGGCAAGTCATTAAAAGGCGATTAATATCAACACCATTGTGCGATTTGAGTTAAGTTTTGGGAATCACTTTATCAAGTTTTGTTCAACTTAATGCTGAAAATGTGCAGATAATTTGTAAGTTAGATGCATCTTCTAACCTTCTGTCAGTGATGGACGATGAAGTCAGAGGATAACCAAAGTGTTCAAGGCTAATCCTCCAGGAAACAGGGAACTATGCACCAAACTTCATGGCAGTCAAAGGAGTCGTTTTCAAAGCAATTCACTGTAAACAGGGAGTGGCTTCAACTTAACCTCCAAGCAACCATCAATATCTTGCTGTATGAATGGCAATCAATCCATAGACGGCTCCATCCCTGGAGCTTCACAACCAGGGAGGCTAAAAAAAATCAAATCAAATAGAAACTTGTGAAATGGTCCATTTATCAAGCAAAGTGTTGGGTGGCGCTGAGCGACCCTCCAGTCAGACTGGGGAACAGACAGCCAGAGTCGCCAATGAGACTGATGGCCCATCGCCCAAATGTCGACCCCTTTATTAGTTGTTTCCAGAATGACATTAGTTTAGCTACTGAGGACCAACAGGCACGGCGGGGAACAGAGGAACTCTCTGTCCAGGAACACGGAGACCCAGGACATGCCAAGGTCACGGCAGGCAGACAGACAGGGCCACCATGGAATCCTCCTTTAACCTCATCGTAGACTCTGCGGTCTGCCCGGTCAGGGTCAAGTGGACGAGGGGATATTTGTGGCCTGTTTTTGGAGACTGCCTGTTTATAGAGGAGCCTGGCGGGGACTTATTGTCGTGGCCTGAGGGTGGACCACACTGCACAAATGTAGATTGATGATTGGGGCCCCAGTGTTTTTGAGCGTCATAAATCCACATGAACCAGCAGATGACCCGTGATTGGTGCTCTGCTGAGTGTCAAAATGCCACAGCACCAAAAAAAAAAAATCCTACAGGCAAAACATTATCTACATTACCAACATCAATACCAATTTGTGCTGTACTCATTTATATCAGTGAAGAATCGCTACCATGTCCGACTAATAGCCCCACAGTCAAAAGTATTCATAATACTGTGATTTAAAACAGAGTAAGGTCATTTATTGTCACTCGGACTACACTGTTAAGAATCTACTTAAACTAAATGGTATGGTTCATATTGTTAAGACTATTAAGTATCAATCATAATCGTTAAAAGTGTGAAATTCAGTTATAATAAAAAAAACAGGTAAGATTTGTGTTCTTTGAGAAAATTCCTTTTTTTAATTTGAACCTTTTCAGCACGAAAACAAAAGTTGATTAAATGTCGCCCTGATTATTCACTTCAGTCCACAAGTCAAACCCCCTGATCTGCTGATCCATCTTTACATTTTTTTGGCTTTTTTTATTTTAACAGAACCCCACTGTGGTGGAAACGTTTAGTGTTTGGGGAGATTAATCTTAAAAACTCTCTCAGTCAGCAAGTTAATTTCAAATGTGATGGGAATTATAGCTCTGTGAAAGGATTTTGATCTCATGACTTTTTTTTTCAGAGGGTGGATTTCTTTTTGTTTAGGGTCGTGGTGTTAGCTTAGCATTAGTTTTAGGAGGTAATCATTGGCTCTTTTTTGTTCTTTTTTCCATTAACACAATTACAACTTATGACTGGTTTGAAGGTGCATTAGAGTCAACAGATTTGTTCTTCTTCCTTTTTGTTGGCGATTGAGGGTTTTAATTTATACAGTTTATGGTTCGCACACCGTTATAGTGATGCATTAGTGCCACCAAGTGGACTGGAGTGGAAGAAGGAGAGTCCAATAAGGGCAGACAGTAATTTTGGCTCAATAGACAAATGAATGGCTTTAAGTTCAACTGTTTCATTTAAAAGAACAGGATAATCTGCAAACATACTCCACAAAAATGCCAATTAAAACAAATCTGAAAATACATTTGTTCAGTTTTCAAGTTTTTATTTTCAAATGGCTACATTTAAAAAAAAAAAAGTGATGTCTGTCAATCAATTTTTTTTCAAGCGATTTCAACTCTACAGAAAAAAGAAATTTTTTATTTTATTTATTCTTTATTTCGAACGATTAAAAATAGATGAAAATGAATAAACAAATGGAAAAAAAAAATCTGTATAAAAAATAAAAATAAAAAGCCTATTTCAATATAATACATATTTGACTCTTTCGAAAAGGGATAGGAAGAAGCCCAGGCTTGTCAAGTCCTACCCCCATTCTTCACCATTAACAAATGCAAAATCCAGTAAAATAAACGGTCAATACAAAAAAAATAAAGTGACAAGAGAGTTTACTTATGTCATTCAAAATGATCCTGACTTTCTATGCTGTCTTAGCTCCAGGCAGTATTTACCCTAAATTGCTTTGCCATTGATATTTACATGTTGAATAAAAACATGCATTAAGAGTTTAATAACGGTTATTATTCTGCAGTGCCATGGTTCCCTAATGACATCCAAGACTTGGACCGTTTTGCCAACCAGATCCTCAGTTACGGCTCCGAGCTGGAATCTGATCACCCGGTAAGGACTGACTCATCCATCACTGTGTGTGTGCCACATCCTGCCTCTTGGTGTGTGTGTGTGTGTGTTTGTGTGTGAATACGTGTCCACTCACGCCCCCACATGTCTTATGAAAGCCGGGCAGCGGAGATGACAGGCTGCACTCTGCTGTCTATTCTAATGGAAACTATCTAGACACACAAATTGATGTCATTGCTTTAATTGAGCCCCTATAATTATAGATAATTGCTCCCTTTTGCCACCGCCATTAAAGCGAAATGTATTCATCCTAATCTGAAAAACACTCTACAAAGGCTTCATTTGAATATGTATTTTGGAGCTCTTATTACAGACGGAGTGCATAATGCTGTCAAAGGCCACAGGGTTGAGCCTTAGCAGAGGATTTCCACTCTTTGATTTAGCTGTGAGTGGCCAGGCTGCGATCATGAGATCTAACATGGCTTTCCTTTGTGTGTGTGTGTGTGTGTGTGTGTGTGTGTGTGTGTGTGTGTGTGTGTAGGGCTTTACAGATCCAGTGTACAGAGCCCGCAGGAAGGAGTTTGCTGACATCGCCTACAACTACAGACAGTAACTACTTCTATTATTCTTCATTTTTAAACTCTGTATCTTTTTTTTTGTGTGTGTTTTTCTAGTCGGTGAAGAATCAATGGTCAGAATATTCTTTTCATATCTGGCTGTTTATTCCAAAACTATTATAAAAAATCCAGACAAATAACAAGTAGTGAGTGGTGGATTTAAAGGGCCTTGGTGTTTGTTTGTATAATAATGTAGGATATTATTAACAGGCACTACAAAGACAGACAAACTGAGAGAAATCCTCAGTGAGGTGCTTTGGATTTACATACAGAATATCTGTGCAGTAAGGTGGCTAAACAATTGCTATACACTCAAATACGTCAGCATTTGACATCCTCAAAGTCCGTCTACTTGCATGAAAAGGGGACAAAATGCTTTTAAAGCGTCTTTTAAGGGTAGTGAAGTTGAGTAGTGCTTTAAAGGGATTCAAGACACAGCATCAACCACATTTTTTTTAAATTAGTTTGCAAAGTGTCCTTCATAAAAAGACAGAACTCATGCAGCAAACTTCATGTCTTTGTCCCAGTGGCCAGGTCATCCCTCGAGTGGAGTACACAGAGGACGAGAAGGCCACATGGGGCAAGGTGTTCAAAGAGCTGAAGACTCTGTACCCGACTCACGCCTGCCGCGAACACAACCGTGTTTTCCCTCTGCTGGAGAAGTACTGCGGCTACAGACAGGACAACATCCCCCAGCTGGAGGACGTCTCCCGCTTCCTGCAGTGTAAGACGTGATGCACTAGGGGGTGACATAACCTATTATGTGCTTAAGGTCAAGTCCAGGGTGCGATAATTCTCACTCATAACCACTTTGGCCAACTTAAACATAATAAACATAAAGTGATGTTCCTTTGATTCTACTTTTCCCCACAAAGCTAAACGGTTATAACCCAGTTTGTTTGGCAGCAGATTTAACATCTAAAAAGTTGTTATAGCATCTTCCCGTGAGAACAGCATGAAAATAGAAAAACGAAACTTAGAATGCAAATTGACTTTGCAAGAAACTTTAATTTCTTCCCGACAGCCGTCTAAAAGTTAGCTAACCCAAAGCAGGGGAGCACGCTTTTCAAGGGAAAGCTAATGTGTTAAAAAGCTACTAGCTAGCCTTAGCTAAAGATGAAACTCAACTTTACAAATGTAATTTACAAAACAGAGTGTCTCTATCATTTAGAAAATGCTAACTATTCCTGCAAAGGCAGCTAGTTTATCAGACCAGAGCGAGTTATTGAGATTGACTGTATGCTAAAGGTTATTATTACATAATCCAGTTTGTTTGGCATCAAATTTAACATCTGAAAAGTTGTTATAGCATCTTAAATGACGGTGAGAACAGCATGAAAGTAGAAAAACAAAACTTAGAATGCAAATTGCCTTTGCAAGAAACTTTACTTTCTGCCCGACAGCCGTCTAAAAACTAGCTAACCCAAAGCAGGGGAGCGTGTTTTTCGAGGGAAAGCTAATAGCCTTAGCTCAAGATGAAACTCAGCTTTACAAATTTAATTTACAAAACAGAGTGTCTCTATCATTTTGAGAGTCTACATCTGAACTGAATGTGTCAGTAGTCTGAGTACTCTTCCTGCTAAGGCAGCTAGTTTATCAGACCAGAGGGAGTTATTGAGATTGACTGTCTGCTAAAGGTTATAATTACATAATCCAGTTTGTTTGGCATCAAATTTAACATCTAAAAAGTTGTTATAGCATCTTTAATGACGGTGAGAACAGCATGAAAGTAGAAAAACGAAAATTGACTTTGCATGAAACTTTACTTTCTGCCCGACAGCCGTCTAAAAACTAGCTAATCCAAAGCAGGGGAGCGTGTTTTTCAAGGGAAAGCTAATAGCCTTAGCTCAAGATGAAACTCAACATTCTTTTTTATTCTTCTTTAATTTACAAAACAGAGTGTCTCTATCATTTAGATAGTTTACATCTGAACTAAATGTGGCAGTTGTTGAATAAACAGAAAAAAAATGCTAACTATTCCTGCTCAGGCAGCTAGCTCATCAGACCAGAGCGAGTTATTGAGATTGACTGTCTGCTAAAGGTTATAATGGGTGAACAGCAGATGCTATAATGACAGGTCAGGTATAAAGTCATACATTTTTGGCTGAGTCATCCAGTGTGATGCGATACACTTAACAGAACATCCCATCATTCGCTTCATTGCGGGGACTGTTCAGACGCCCTACTTCCTATTCCTCCCCATTCACTAACACGACTAAACACTCTCCTCTTGTCATCCCTCCCGTCTCTTTCCTCCAGCGTGTACTGGCTTCCGGCTTCGCCCCGTCGCCGGCCTGCTCTCGTCCAGGGACTTCCTGGCTGGACTGGCCTTCCGTGTTTTCCATTCCACGCAGTACATCCGTCACGGCTCCAAGCCCACGTACACACCTGAGCCGTGAGTGTCTAAGACTCATTTCATAAATAGACTGACATTATATAACTTCAACAATGTTAAAGAGTTATTTTAATTTCTGCTGCAGTGATATCTGCCATGAGCTCCTGGGACACGTTCCTCTGTTTGCTGATCCGAGCTTTGCCCAATTCTCACAGGTGATTTGAATAAACACTTTCTTCACCATCTGTGTCCGTGTTGTACTCTTTTGGACTCTTTGCTTTAGCATCAGTGAGTTGTTGACTTTGCATAAAAATCTGTGTAGGTTATGTAACTCTGACTTTTTTATTTTCTGATATTAACGCTTTGATTGAATTCTTTTTTAGGAAATCGGTCTGGCCTCCCTTGGTGCCCCTGATGGGTACATTGAGAAACTTGCTACTGTGAGTACACGAGACATTTTAGATAAAACTATCAGAAAAAGACAGCTACTATTTCTGGTCAATTTAAAACAGAAGCTAACAAACGTGTTAAAGGCTTTATATGTGATTTTTCACACTTAAATGTAGAAATCAAGTATATCCTCTGAAAATAACTCTGTGAGTCATGACTGTCTACAATGGGTGTAACACCCGAGTCCCACTGTCTGTGATGTTTTCAGAGTTTTCAGAGTCCTATCTTCACTTTGTTTACATCGCCGGGACGGACGGCTGACTCCTCCCCTCGTGTATAAAAGTTGTTTAATTGAGGGACTAGAGAAAAGAAGAATAACATACTGTACTCACTGCTTAACTGTGTTTCTAGATCACGCTCATTTCAGGTAAATTTACATGCAGTGTGAAGATACCAGCATAATAAAGATCGCTAGCATTAGCATGCTAACACAACAATGTTGTTGCGCGAGTTGTTTTGGTTTCATGCTGGTGCTCAAGGGCGACATCTGCTTGATCAAAAAATCGCATATAAAGCCTTTTAACAGGGATTTATACATTTGTATGCTCTGTTTGTATGAATCATCCTGGATGGGTGTGTGTGGTTTCTTTAATGCCAAATTTGCATTTTTGGGCTCCTGTTTCACAACATTACATGCATCTTTCTCATTGGTGTAACTTCTTGCATGGTGTTTGCACAGATCATATTGTCATGAAACCTTTGGTGTGTCCCCAGGTGTACTGGTTCACCGTGGAGTTCGGCCTGTGTAAGCAGGGCTCGGAGATCAAAGCTTATGGAGCCGGCTTGCTTTCATCGTTCGGAGAGCTGCAGGTAAGAGGAGGGGGAAGGGAGTCGGGGTTACGTCCCTCCCCACAGCAGCAGGGAAAAAAACATTGTGATCCCCCTCTGTGTGTTATTACAACACATTCACCTTGTTGTAAAACAGCGGTGGTGCAGGCAGTGGGTTAGTGGTCCACTCGGACTCGATGTGTGTCACTGGGGGAGTCGGCCCGCCTGCCTTCCTGCCCTCCTGCAGGGTTTGGCTAAATTGGTTCAGTGGGGGCAGAGAGAGGATGAGCAGCCTGCTATCGAGGTCACAGTTACATCAGCAGAGGATGTGCACTCTGCCGAGTATCACAAGCAAAAAACAGAACATCCCTGAATCATGCTGCACTTCCTGCTTACTGATGGGACTAGAGACGGTCATTGATGAAATACAAAACAGCAGAAAAACAGGATTAAATGTGCAAATTCTTACTTTTCAGTACTGCTTGACAGACAAGCCGCAGGTCCACTCTTTCGACCCAGACAAGACCAGCCTCCAGAAATACCCAATCACAGAGTACCAGCCTGTTTACTTTGTGGCCGAGAGCTTTGAGGACGCCAAGGAGAAAGTGAGGTAAGAAAATATATAAAAGCATCCCTGCTTTTATGCACACACAGAAAGTTTTTGTCGCATAATAAAACTTGTGTATCATCAACGTCTCTCTCTTGCTCGCAGGAAATTTGCAGGCACCATCCCCAGGCCTTTCACGGTGCGCTACAATCCCTACACCCAGAGTATCGAAGTGCTGGACAACACCCAGCAGCTCAGCAACCTGGCTGACAGCATCAGTAGTATGTCACCCACTATATTAAAAAAAGGCCGCTTATTTGTGTACAGAGCGGAGACAAACATGTCATTCTCTCTGGTAAAACAGGTTTTACTAACTATTTGAAGCAGTGAGTTTGGTCCTGTATTAGTTTGTAACCCTTAAAAGTCAAGCTATGATTGTTTGGAAACATGTCAGGCATGAAAAAATATATTTTTACAGTTTGTAAAAATCTCAGTCTTAAGTCTTTAGTGTCTTAAAGCCTGCATTCTCTTTAGTGGCCACTAGGGGCTCTTTCAAAGATGAAATATTGTATAGTAGTAAATGAGGAAAGTGAACCTAATTCTCATTTAAGACAGAAGCTTTTCCCTAGAAAATAACGTATAGACAGAGATGACAATGGAGCACAATTTCAGGCAACTCTGATTCATAAAAAATACAAAGTCATACTGCTGTGACTAAATGTTTTTATTTGTGTTTGACTCTTGTTTCAGGTGAAATGGGAAAACTGTGCGAAGCCTTAAAGAAACTGGAGTAACTGCAGCAGAGAACCTCTCCTCTTCTTCAGTCATCCGGCACGTCGGCTCAACATGCTTCCAAACCGTCTTTTTCTTTGTATTAAAACATTTATGCAAGTCACATATTGACAATATTACTCTGATCTAATTTGTGTTTTAGTTTAGGGAAAAAAACAGCGTAGCCTGTTACTTATGTGCGATAATAAGGAACGTGTCTGTAGCAGCTAAAATAATATCAAAACTCTGACAGTATACATGTTATTAGAGAAGTGCTTTTGAAATGAAGAATGTTTGCTAGTCCTTTGAATGAATTAAATATGTGAATATCAAACGTTGCTCCTTATACAAGGCAGAGCAGCTGAAATAACCAGATTGTTTTTTTTAGAACATTTCAAACCTAAAGACATATCAAGAGATAATTGTTGTCACTAACTTTCATATTGCTTAATGAAGTGTTTTGTTTATGCATGAAATGTTGTAATAAAACAAATAAATATTTATCTCGTCTCCGTCCGTCCATTTTTCCTTTATGTAGTACATTTTATATATATATATATATATATATAATGACGTCATGCCCTCTCTGCCTGTATGTGGTTTGGTTTGGTTTAACTTCCTGGCTCAGCAGCCAATAGGAGTCAGTGAGAACATCAGTTAACGATGCACGCAGGGGTGAGTCTGGGGGGGGCATAGGCCCTCCTTGAAATCTGATTGGCCTCACCAATTTTTGATAAAACTATTTGTCATCCATTCATAGACCATTCCTTTGTGGCTACTCAGGAAATAAGCTTTAATATAGTCTCAAATGCTTCAAGAAATTAGGCCTACAGGCTAGCCTATGAAATATCAAAGATTTATAAATGAAATGTATTTACATCCTTTATACAATATACAAATATACAATGTTACAATTCTCTTAGCAGAATATACATTTATTATTAAATTTAAATGATCATAAACGCACACTTTTTAATGTATATACTGTAAAAACTACCTCATGTTTACTTCAGCATCTTTGCACTCCTCACCACTGCACTATTATCTTATATTATTTAGCCTTGTACCTATTAGTCTTTGAAAACGTTATGTTGGCTGTCAGACTTTGTACAGAAGACCCTTCGTTCAATTTCAAGGCTCCAATGTTGCATTTTAAGTTTTAGATTAGAGTTATTTTTTCACATAAAATTCAAGTCCCTTGAATGCATCACTACAAAATCACCAATACAAATACTACACGTTTTTTTGTTTTTCTTTCATAAATAGGATGAATTTTGGGTGAATGAGTCTGTATAATATTTACAGTCTATGGTCTGTAGCCTAAATTAGGAAAACGTCGATTTTTTCTTATGCAATTCATGTCACAGTTAAATTATTTCAACCTTTCATGACGCACAGCAGGCCCCCCTAAAAACAGCCAAACGTGCTGTGTGTGCGTAACTCATCTCCATGAGCCCCCTCAGATGACAGACTATATAAACCTGTGCTGAGGTGAGGATGACACACTTTCTCAGTCTGCTCCGGTGACACCGTGATCTGATAACCCCCCTTTATCCCCCCCTCCAGCCTAAAGCTCTTTGCACTCATGAAGACCGACAGCTCGGTGCAGGCGGCTCCGTTCAGCGGGAGGAAGCAGAGTCTGATCGAGGATGCTCGGCGGGAGCGCAGCAGCGGCTCCCCGGGCTCTCCGGGGCCCGACCGGTACGGAGACGGCTTCGTTTTCGAGGAGAAGCCGGGCAGGGTCACCGTCAACGTCCTGTTCACCCTCAGCAATGAGAAAAACTCAGGATTCTTCAAGACCGGGAAAATATTCGAGGTAATAACCACATTTAAAAAAAATCAAATAGCCTACCTATAGACTTACTTTAAATGAGTGAAGCCCAATATGCTCTGCAAAAATACTCTGGTCCTAAAGCACCAGTGAACCTTCTTGTATCTTTTCATTTCTGCAACTCTGTGCTGCTGCTCCATTACATTTCAATCATGCATTTTCGGCTGAATTAATTTTATAAAGTAAAGTTACTCTGCAGGTTTAGATACAGTCTATGGTTTAGATTTGTAAAAAATTATATATAGAGACCAGAACAGTTATGGGTCCTAATATTAATATTGTGAAAATTAATTCATTTTTATTTCTCTCTCTATCTGTTCTTCTTAGTTATTTTTTCTCTCAATGTGATTATAGCGCTCTTATTTTGAAATTCACACTGTTAGTTGTGCAGCTTATTGTCGCTCTGTGTTAATGTGCAGGCTATGCAATAAAGTAAAAAAATATAATAACACACAAAAAACAATTTGGATAAGAAAGAGCTATCAGGAGAATTTAAAGTGGTTGAGTTTGCTCCTTTAGCATCTGGAAGGTTTTCTTTAGAGACACTTTGAATCTTCAGTATTTTTGAAACTGAACTTGAAGTTCTGAGTATGTCATCCATTATTGATCTTTATACTTTTTACTAATTAACTGATAAATTGTTTATAGTTGTTTTATTTGCAGTAAAAAAAAAGTTTTGTTTTGTTTGTTATTATGAAAGAAGTAAAAAATCAGCTAATCAACACTTTTAGAAGCTGAATTTGCCATTTATGGTTGAAAATGTACCAAATTAATTATTTAAATCCTGTAATTAAAACCACATTTCGGCCGCCGATGGCTTCATATTTATAACAAATATTCTATGAAGTTATAAATATTTTAATTCTGGCTTTGTATTAAAGAATGGTGGGAAATGTCTCTAAAAGGCAACAACTGTTTGTTGTTTTGTTTGCGTCCTGTAAATCGTCTGGTTCCAATTTGAGATTCAAATCACATATTTTATATTTAGCTTTGTGCATTTTTGTCTCAAAGATCAGGAAAAATCCTTTAAAATGCATCATGTTACATAACTTCCACACATCAACACTTCTCTGGTAACTGTGAGCTGATTCCTTCCCTTGTTTCCCACTCAGACATTTGAAGCTAAACTTCTCCACATCGAGAGTCGACCGGGGAAGAAGTCAAAGAACAGCACGACGGACCTGGAGTTCTTCATGAAGTGTGAAGTTCACAGCTCGGACCTCGACGTCTTCATCAACTCACTGCAGAGAGTGGCTGAGGACGTTCGCTCCATTCCCGACGAGAAAGGCAACTACCTGATTTTATTACTGCACCTCTTGCTGCACTGCTCCAGTCAGTTACAACCAAATTAATCAAATGCAACCAGGACATTAACAAAAACCACTAATCAATTATTTTCCCTCCTGTCACAGTTCCCTGGTTCCCCCAACAGATAAAAGACCTCGACAGATGCAACTTGTTAATAACCAAATTTGATCCGGACATGGACGAAGAGCATCCGGTGAGTGCTCACATACCCTCAGCAGAATTTCACATCAGCTGTTAAAGGAAATACAGCTTTCTTATAGTCATTTTAAATCTTTTTCTGCAGGGATACAGCGACCCAGAATACAGAAAAAGACGAGCTTTCATCTCCGAGCTTGCCTTCACATACAAACAGTGAGTCAGATGTTGTCAAATGGAACTTTTATAGTACTAAATGTCATTGAAATATTCTCTCACATATATATGTTGTTCTTTTTTGGTCACAGGGGGGACCCTTTGCCCACTGTGGAGTACACAGCAGAGGAAATATCCACATGGTGAGCATGAACCCAGACACAGCCGTACTAATGCAGATGCACTGTGTGACAGGATGATGAAAGTACAATGATGTGTTGTTGTTGTGTTTTAAAAAAAGGAGGGAGGTGTACCGACAGCTGAGGAGTATTTACCCCGGTCTGGCCTGCAGGCAGTTTCTGGACGGTCTGCAGCAGCTGGAGAAGGAGTGTGGCTACGGGGAGGACCGCATCCCTCAGCTCAGGGAGGTTTCTGCATTCCTGAAAGGTGACGACAACGACACAGAAGAATTAGTGCTTTAACATTTATATAAGTTTGAGTTATGTGGAATTCAATTTAAAAAAAAAAAAATCAAAATAGTATAAATTCAATTTGTCCCAATTGTTAATCGTAAAATAAAACATGACTTATTTAGCTGAGCGGAAGATTTAAAATATCTACTATAAAATGTTTAATAGTTTGAAAAATGACATAAAGCAATATACAATTATGAATCATCAGTACAAAAAGAGTCCCAACTGGTTGAGAACTGTAATTCTGAGCATGTTTGTCCATTGCATTTTGACAAAAGAACTGAGTCTGTGCATAAATGTCGTTTTGGTGAAATACATGCAAGTGATTATTGAAGGATTTTAAACGACAAGAACAGAAGAGAATGTTTCTTTAAACCCGATAGCTATTTAGGACGTAGATTCTATCATCTTCTTTGGAACCCTGACAGTGCCCGTCCTTCTCCTGTCTATTATCTCTTCTTCCTCTTAAGCGTCTTCTTTCTCAGTGTAATGACAAGCGTTTCCTCTCCGCTCTGCTTGTTTCAGAGAAAACGGGTTTCCAGCTGCGTCCAGTCGCCGGCCTCCTGTCAGCCAGAGACTTCCTCTACAGTTTGGCCTTCAGGGTGTTCCAGTGCACGCAGTACATCCGTCACGCCTCTGCGCCCATGCACTCTCCTGAGCCGTGAGTCATCGTTTTTATTGACACCTGATTATTTTGACTCCTGAACTCCGCTTTTGTTTTTGCTTTGTTATTAACTCGGTTTTATCTGCTCTGACAGAGACTGCTGTCACGAGCTGCTCGGACATATTCCCATGCTGGCAGACAAAGAATTCGCACAGTTTTCCCAGGTACTAAACGTGCGGCACCACTATACAATACGTTCTCAACAACTTCTATTGTTTCTTACCTTTAACACTGATTTCTCTGAATCATTTCAGGAGATTGGACTCGCCTCTCTTGGAGCGTCAGATGAAGACATTGAGAAACTGTCAACAGTAGGTTTATTACGTTTTCTGAAATCTTAAATGAGACAAATGTAAAAGTAATTTAAAAAATGGCATGGGCAATTCTTACATAGTCTAACGGGGTCTCCAACAGGTAGCTCGGGAGCTTCCTGTTGGAGGTTTTCAGTTGCTCGCCTATAGGTTGACCGTCTGTGTTAAAAAAAAAAATAATAATCTGACGACAGTAAATGCACCTCTTTCCACTATTTATATATTTGGCCCATAAAACAAGTGTAAAGTAGTGATGTTTTCTTGGACATTGATGTGGGTTATTGCAATTTCACACGTGTACAAACAGTATCTTAATCCAGCTGATGTGTGCTATGAAAATAAATGCAAGCGATTTGATGCAAGTAGCTCTTGGCCACTTTCATTTTTTCAAAGTAGCTCTCAGATGAAGAAAGGTTGGAGACCACCTGGAGTTTTTTTTTTTTTTTAAATCTGGAGTGTAAAGTGTTTTTTTCTTTTTTACAATTTCATATCAGATATTTAATTCTAAATAAGTAAATAAATAAATTAGGACGATCCATCCATTTCTATATCCATGAGGAAGAAACTGGCTCTAAAATGGATCTTTAGTGCCATCTAGTGGCCCATATAAATACCTGCAGATCACTTGAAAGCCTGCATAATAAATGCTGTTTGTTAATCTGCCTCTCTTATTGTTTTAGTTGTATTGGTTCACTGTGGAGTTCGGCCTCTGCAAGCAGAATGGAGCGGTGAAAGCGTACGGCGCTGGACTCCTGTCGTCTTATGGAGAGCTCGTTGTGAGTGCATGCAAACATAAGAATCATAATTCACCATGCGTATTCTTTATCAGCTGTTTGTCCTGACAGTTTTTTGACATGTGCTTTCAGTACGCTCTGTCCAATGAGCCCGAGTATAAACCGTTTAACCCCGAGGAGACGGCGGTGCAGCCGTACCAGGACCAGACCTACCAGCCCGTTTACTTTGTGTCCGAGAGCTTCGAGGACGCAAAGGCTAAGATGAGGTTTGCACATTTTTACTCCATCATGAGTGTGTTGACTATGTTACAGCTGCTGTCGAGTGAAAGCCTTGTAAACCAATAGAGCAATCTTGTGCATCAGGTTTGAAGATGCAACTTCTTTTTCAGGTTTTTATTTCAATCTTACTCTTACTTTTTTTTGAATGAGCATTGCTACCGAGTCAGAAGTTTAAATTGGAACATAAAATCAACATAAACCTCTGATTATTTTTCTCAATTTGAATGCTTAACATCATTTTCTGTCAATTGTTTTCTGGTCCTAAAGATAATTTTATTTTATTAGTTCATAGATTGAAAAATAACATCTGTAGAATTAGGGTTGTTAGAATACCAGAATATAAAACATAAGTATGAAACTAGTAAAAATCAAATGATGATATGTCTGAGGTAACTTGGAACACATTCAAGATGTGTAAAGTAACATTGTGGATGTCTATGTCAATTAGTGCTGAAGTAAATTTTTTTGTGGCCTAACTTAGTATTCAGTATTTCTTTTAATACTCCCCCCCACACATCTAATCACTGCATCTCTAAAATTCTCTGTCATACGCTTCCACTTCAACAGGAGGTACTCCGCAACGATCAAGCGCCCCTTCACAGTTCGCTACGACCCCTTCACCTGCAGCGTGGAGGTCCTGGATCAGCCCGGCAAGATCCAGAACGCTCTGAGCCAGATGAGGGAAGACCTGAAGACCCTGCACAGCGCCTTGGAGAAGCTGAGTCTATCCTAAGACCAGGAAATGTTCCCTGCAGAGATGAGAGAGTCACACATACAGACGGAGAAAACTGGATAAAGATGGACATTTGGCCAGTGCAAACTGTACATGAGATTACAAACGACATGTAAAAGAAAAACCACAAAGTAGTCACGTTTGTGAGGTTTTACACGGCCATGTGTGTGTGTGTGTGTGTAATGTATTATGTAAAAAGAAATAAATGTTTATTTTCATGAAGAAACTTCAGCGTTGTGTGTTCCACAAAAAAGTGCTGAAGCAGGAGGAATAAAAAAAAAAAACACAACCGGAGCGAACCACTACAATACAGGGGGGGGCGGGGGGTACTGGCCACGTTCAAGATTTTAATTCCAAACCAACTATTTCCATTTTGGAAAATCCTTGGAACCCATTTATCATCTTGTATTGGTAAGGAGTTAATCAGGAATGATTTAAGGATCATGTTCCCTCAGATGGTCAAGGCCAAAGCCGGCGCTGACGTCCAGCTCGTGTGTAGTGAGGCCAGGTCACCGAGACCTCACACTCGACCACATCACGGTCCGCAAACCCCTGAAACTGTTGACAGACACTCTTCTCTCTTTATTTCTCTTTCTCTGCTCGGCTGGAGAATTCGGCCCTTTGGGGTTGTTTTTGACGGGCGTCCAGTGTTTTTGATCTCCACGCTGGCGACGATGCGTATCAGACTCGCTCACGTCAAACCTCCAGAAAGACAAATCACCTCCGACTGCAAGGCTCATAAAGCATCTCCGCCGTCAAAACCATGACTGGCAAACCCAACCGCCCCTTCCCCCCCCATGCATCGGCCACCTTGTGTTTGGAAGCTTTCCCCTTCCCATAATTCCACTGTACAGTAAATCAAGCCCTGTGAAGGCCTCCCTAGGAAACCCCAGTGTTTGTGGAGTAAAAAAAAGGGGGGGGAGAAAAGATACAGCAAGTGGAGGGAAAGAGTGATCTACAGCTTGACAAGTGTGCGGGGACACACACACACACATACTTTACTCCAAGCAAAAGTCAAACACTTTATAATTTCTTGTATCTTGTCCCACATCCAGCGCCCTCAAATCCTCAAATCCCTGCGAAAACCGCCGCCAGAATCCGAATCTGCCGAGCGCCAAACAAAAGCGGGTTTGCCGCCGCAGTGATGGGGGCAACCAGGATCCAGCTCGAGTCTGCTCGCCGCAAATCCCAAATGCTGTGTCATCCTGACTCCAACCATAAGTGTTTTCCTTCATTGATGTCACGGTCTACTCATCCCCTGCGCTGGCCTTGTTTTGCCTCCTCAAGGGAGCTGGAGACGAGGTCATGAGGTTCACTCTGTCCTCAGGCTTCAGAAGATATTGGGGATTTAAGACCTGATAAAGAGCTAAATGGATTTCTTAATAGTTTACAAATTGTCTAGCGATGCTTCATAGATCATATGTGAGAAATTAAAAAAAGACAGTTTCACAATCTGGAATCAGGCTAAGAAATGGCTCGCCAAACTGGCCCTGTCCAAAGTGCAGCACCTCGAAAAGGCACGTCATAGCTCTTTTCTTTGGACGGAGCGAGGCCCGGATCAACCATTTTCAAACATTATCTTTGGTACGTTAAGGTGGGACAAATACAAAATCCTGGTGTACATAGATTAAGGTTAAAACTTGGCAATAAAGCTCTTAAATATCAACATACAAAAAAAGTCTGATCAAGAAACAGCACTAAATGAAAATTCAAAGAGGAAAGAAAGGATGTCTAAAATGTTGCACACATCATCACTTCTTTTAAAAGGTTTAAAATCATAGATATTCTACAATTTAGCAATATTTCATGAAGACCGGGGTCAGGGCTGTGTAACATGCACCACCAGCGTTTAGCAAAGTTTGAAGTACACAGAAAAGAAAAAGAGAACAGGCTGTATGTGCATCATCAAGAGGCAGATCTCATTCCAGAGACTGTGCTGAGAAGGAAAAACTTGGAAGCCCAGAATGACCTGGCACAGAGGAGATCGTTGCAGCTTGATGCGTCCACTGGGGGGGCAAAGAGGAATAACTTAGAAAGGAAGAGGTGTTGGTTGATGCGACATAGTGCATCATAACATTTGTCTGCTAAGCTAAACTAGCCAAGTCCTGAATCCAGAACAACATGTTCTTTTGCTTCTGAAAGTCCTCATAAAGCAAATTGGTGTATTTCCCAAAAAATCTATCAGTTTATGAAGGAGCCATGTTTAGTTGGCCAGGTCATGAATACACAGTACCTGATGATGGACTACACCTCATGTCGAGCTAGCACATGAACTCAAATGCTAATTAGTTAGTTTTTAAGATTCAATGAAGACACATGGTGTTAAAAATAGTATCAGCTAAACCGTTTTGATGGATGTTTTTTGGTTTTTACTTTCCAGAAACCAGGTTTGTGTTTTATGCTAAGCTAGGTTAAACACCAGCTTTTCTCTTTAGTTTCTGCATTTTATCTGTTTAAAAAAAAAAAAGCATACATCCCACATTTAGCCTACTTCTTCCTTTTCAAGCTTTTGGTTTTGACCAGGACAGAAACTGGTTAGCAATTTCTTGTTCTGTTATCATCCAAGGGCCACCAAACTTATTTTCAGTGTGTAGACAAATCAAGCACGTTTTAGTTAAAGGCTTTATGTGATTTTTTGATCCAGCAGATGTCGCCCTTGAGCACCAGCATGAAACCAAAACAACTTGCGCTGCATTGTTGTGTTAGCATGCTAATGCTAGCGATCTTTATTATGCTGGTATCTTCACACTGCATGTAAATTTACCTGAAATGAGCGTGATCTAGAAACACAGTTAAGCAGTGAGTACAGTATGTTATTCTTCTTTTCTCTAGTCCCTCAATTAAACAACTTTTATACACAAGGGGAGGAGTCAGCCGGCCGTTCTGGCGATGTAAACAAAGTGAAGATAGGACTCTGAAACTCTGAAAACATCACAGACAGTGGGACTCGGGTGTTACACCCATTGTAGACAGTCATGACTCACAGAGTTATTTTCAGAGGATATACTTGATTTCTACATTTAAGTGTGAAAAATCACATATAAAGACTTTAAGGTTTAAATTACTATCAATGGAGCGCCGGTGGCCAAGCATTGAAAGTTATACAGATTCGCCCTTCACACAACTTGTTGCCCCGACAATCAATCGACAAAGTCCCCTCCATCATGTGATCGAGCCCTTTCCGACTGATTCTCTCCTCCCCATCAAGATCGACGTAATCGCTTCATTCTGGGAAACATTTCACAACAAAACCAGTCGTGAGATCAAATCAAACACCGGGCCTCAAAGAGCTCTAATCTCCGTCTTTGTTTCCCCTTCATATCAGGCTCCTCATTATTTTTATTTGCACTGTTTTTTTTTTTTTTTGTTGAGCCCGGGGCTTAAAGCTGGAAGAATCATCCAAGGAGAGGGAGATTAGGAGAAAGTTGGTGAGGATTTCCAGGGCGGTCTTGATCTCCCTTTCATGTTATTAGTCCAACAAACCACAAAGAGATCAGACATCATAGCTCCACTCAGGGTTACAGTAAAGGTTAAACGCAGAGGTTTTCAGCGGTGACATGTGAGAGTGTGCTTCCAGGAAGGAGGCAGGTTTGTAAGATGTCCAATATGCATCACACTTGCAGGAATCAGACGATGCATTTCTGCTCATCGACCATCAGGTGGTGTCCTTGAGTCGCTGGGATTTGTTGAGCCAGTGTGCCTTTCATGACTCATGCTTCTGAGGAAAGTGGCTCCGTTAAGATTCCAGTGCCCTTTTCTTGGGAGCTTATGTACTCTTTGGAAAACGTTTTGGATTAAAAAAAATGGCAGCTTCTTCTTGCATCTTGACGTTGACGTCTACAACGATACACACAGCTGCTGTAGCACCAGCTTCTACAAAAAATCAAGACCACACTTGAGCGTGGACAAGGAGTGCAGTAGCATGTTTTTGCTTTGCGGATGGCGGTTAACGTTTCCAGTCCAAGAAATATACAAGATCGACGAATCGGTTTTGAAAGAGTGGAGGGTCTCCCCCCCTCCCTTGGCCTCTGCTCGCTCCTTTTATGTCATGCACATGCATCGCCATACAATAGATCTTAAGTGTTTCAGCTTCCAGAATGACATTCATGAAGTAGAATAAATGGCTGTCAGACGCTCCAGTGTGATGCGCACAGTCATCCAAACGCTGCACCCTCGCAGATTAAGTACATCTGTGGAAACAAGCTGCCACCCTAGAATGATTCATGATCGAGCTAATTAAACATTGCGCCTTCTGCTGCTTCGAGGGCTCTGATAATGGAGATGGTGGTTTCTCTCACATGGCATTCCTGTGACGGTACAAGGAGTCTTTGTTTTGCTGGAGGGGCATCACAAGTTTCTGCAGAATGATCCCTTGATGAACTCCGTGTTTGGGGCGGTTTGATAATTATTCACCAAAGAGTGAGGGGAACATTTCGTCCTCTTCCTGCATCTCTAAGATCAGATTGTTTGTATGTCATGGAGGAGTTCATGACCTGAGATGGCCTCTGAACATCCCAAAGCTCTTCCTATGATTACACTAACAACCCTTCTGCAAGGTTTGTCCAACAGCTGGAACACTGCCAGACCACTTTAGTTTCCCATCATCCAAACTTTCCTGTGGATTTCCTGCGCACCACAGCAGGTGGAACCGCACATATGAGGGATATACTCTTGATGGGATTCAGAGTCTCTCATCGACAGTGAGAAAAATGAGATAGCGAGAGAGAGAGAGCACCCGGGGGCAGCGATCATGTTGACCGGCGAGGTGGAGAATTGGCACCGATTCCTTGATGCGTTCCTTTGAACTTCAGTTTTCTTGGCAGGACATAAGACAGCTGATGTAACTTTGCGCTTCAGAGAAAAAAGGAAAATATCTCAAGACAGAGTGTGGACCAGCACCTTTTTAATCTGTAGCCCCGACCTGAAGGGGTGGACGAAAACATAAAAGAACAAAGCGCGAGCGTTTTATTTTTTTGCCAGTTTCCATCGATATCACTCAAAACTCAGTAGATACTCAGAAAAATACTTTATTGTTTATTTATGAGAGTAGAAACACAGGACCTAGTTATCCACCGTGGCAGGTGCAGTTGCAGATGTCTACATTTCAGTCAT